GGGAGCTGATGAATTCCCCAATAGAGGGCATAGAGAAAGAAAAGAAGAGAGCTCAGCACGGAGCCTTGGGGAGACATTCACCACTGGGGGATGAGACACGGTGATATAGCAAAAGACACCAAGGAGTGGTCAGAGAGGTAGGAGGAAAACAAGGAGAGAGTCTTGATTTCAGGGAAGGAAGTGTTCAACAGGGTCAAATTATGCAGTGAGATCAAGATAAATGAGGTGTTCTTTGTTCGGCAAGTACTCTCCCTCTTCCTCAGATTATCCCATATGTACTTGTCTGGATACAGGTTGGATTTCCTTTAAAGAATGTAAGCTTCCAGAATTTAGAGGTACTGGCAGAAAAACAAGATACTGTAAGCCAAGCCCTGCTTTGTGAGCTGGAGAAAGGCCTCATTTAGCCCCTGTCTTATCCAAGGGTTCATTGTTGGGCATTTGTTATGGGTGACCTGTTTCCCTCTCTCTAAATTGAGGGGCATTTATATAATAATATATAATATGTATGGTTATATATTTTTATGTGACATATAAATATGTATTTATGTGACATATAAATATATATTTATATAATAATATATAGTTTTATATTTATGTGATATATAAACATATATGCATATAATAATATATAGTAATATATTTTTATGTGATGTATACATATATATTTATATAAAATATATAGTATCTATGGCACCTGCTTCCCAAAAGGCCTGGCTTCTGGCATGGCTGTCAAATACTTGAATCATAGAATGTCTGAGCTGAAAGTACCCTTTGAACATAGAACACTGAATACTGGAAGAGACCTCAGAAGCCATTTAATACACCCTATCTCTTTAGGAACAGGAATACTCTCTGTAACATTGACAAGGGATTGTCTGGCCCCTGCTTGAAGACCTCCAGTGACAGAGAACCCACTACCTGTGAGATAGTCCTTTCCTTACCTTAAAACATAAAAACAAAACCACAGTTATTTCCTAACAGCCTTGGAGTCAGGAGGACCTGAGTTCAAATCTGACCTCAGACACTTGACACTTACTAGCTGTGTGACCCTGGACAAGTCACTTAACCCTGATGGCCTCACCAAAAAAAAAAAAAAAAATGAATTGCAGCCACATTGAAGCCTTCCTAATAACAAAGACAGGTAATTAAGTGACACCAATAAACACAACAACAACTGTGGCTACCAATGAGTTCAACATTCTGCATCTGTATTCTCTCCCTTCTCTACCAAAATCAACCATGTTTCATCATTTGTTCTCAGGGACTGACTGTTCGTTACAATCAATCTGAATTTGGCTGCTTTTCTGTGTTGTTTTCATTTACATAGTTATAGACTTGGTGTATAGTCATCTCTTGGTTCTCTTCACTTTACCCTGCATCAGTTCATGTAGGCAGGCAGGTAGGTCTTCCTATGCTTCTTTGAATCCCTTTTATTCACCATTTCTTATGAATCAAGAATATTCCATAATGTTGTCGTTGAGTTGTTTCAGTTGGGTCCGACTCATTGTGAACCCTTTTAGGGTTTTCTTAGCAGGAATACTGGAGTGGTTTGTCATATCCTTTTCCACCTTATTTTACAGATGAGGAAACTAAAGCAAACAGGGTTAAGTGACTTGCTCAGGGTCACGCAGCCAGTAAGTGTCTGAGGCCAGATTTGAACTCAGGAAGATGAGTCTTCCTGCCTCCAGGTCCGGTGCTCTATTCACTGTTCCATATAGCTGCTCATATTCCATAACATTAATATAATATAATTTGTCCAGTCATTCCCCAATCAATAGGCATCCATTTTGCTTCTGGTTTTTTTTTTGCTACCACAAAAATTCTTCCATGCATAGTTTGAGACAGAGATATATCTATATCTATATCTATATCTATATCTATATCTATATCTATATCTATATCTATATCTATATCTATACATATATATTTATATATATATAAATGGATTTATATATGTATATATCTATGTATAAATATGTGTGTACATACATAAGTACATATAAAAATATATACATATGTGTGTGATTGTATGTATATGTTTGTGTGTGTATATATATGTGTGTATGTATAGCTAGATATAGTCTTTTTATCTCTGAACTCCCTGAGGTATAATGCCTGACAGTAAAATCATTATTCAAAAGGTAAGAATGATTTAGTACCTTTCCCAAAATAGCTCTGAGTTGTTTTCCAGAATGGTTAGACCAATTTACAGCTCTATGAAAAATATATCAATGTGCCTTTTTTCCAACAACACTGAATATTTCAGTCTTTTGTTAACCCAATGGGTGTGAGCTGAAATCACAAGCTTGTTTTTAATTTGTATTTCTCTCCTTAGTGATTTGCAGCATTGCTTCATATAGCAATTAATAGTTGTAATGTTTCCTTTGAAAATTGTCCATAGGATCACAGATTTAAAGGGAGAGGGGTTGGTGGAAGCTATTTAGTCCCACCCCCTCATTTTACAACTGAGGAAACTAAGTCAGAGTTTCAGTTGCTTGCCCAGGGTCACAGTTTGAGGAAATGTTACAGGATTGGGGCCCAGGTCTTCCTGATATCAAGTCTGGCGCTCTATCCATTATGTTGTTCTAGCTGGTTTTTTCACATCTTTTCAATCACTTATCTCTCAGAGAATGTTTTGTGACTTTACATTATTTGTGTCAATTACCTCTATACCTTGTCTATCAGTTGCTGTATGGACAATTCTTATCGTTAAGAAGTTTTCCCTTATTTATATCGAATCTAAAACCTGAATCTGCCACTCTGTAACTCCAACCCTTTGTCAGAAGTTCTGTCTGGGGCCAAATAGAATCAACGTAATCCTTTTTCTGGTGTGACAGCTTTTCAGCTGCTTGCAGATAGAGATTAGGCTTTCCTGTCCTTTTAAGTGAGGATAAGTTTGTTGCTTTCAAATAACTGACTCCATTTTGTATTAGGCCACCATTTTGTTTTGCTATTTGTTTTTCATAACTTGTTTTTCAATATTAAGATAAGCACAGCTGTGGTACAGATTGGTAAACAACATGTAAGTGTTCACAATCAACTAGTAAACATATGGGACCCCCAGATAGGACAGACCACCAATGGGAAAATTCGGTAAACAAACCCATCATTAGTTTATGTCATCAGGCATCAATCAAATTAATTGGTGAACAAATTAGGTCGCCAAATGCCAATCAGAACTAGAATGTAACCAGCTGACACCCATAGCTAGAATATAAGAACCACCTCACCCCCCTCTCACTCCCCAGACCCTGAGCCTTCAGTCTGGTCATGGATGTCAACGGAGATTGGTTCTTGCCCTACCCCGACCCTTGAGACTCAAGCATCCTCAATGTTTGCTTTTGGACAGGGCTGATTGACGGACTGAGACTTGTCAGACATCTTCCTCTAAGGAGGCACCAACCTCTGACCGAACAGAGAAGGAATCTTGTCACTGAGTACCAGTATGAGACCTACTTACTGGGAACCCCGGGAAATCAGATTAGAGATTTGTTCCTGGTGGGGCTGATGTTTGTGTTGTCTAATAGCTAATATAAACTGATGTTTGCATGCATTCGATTAATAAAGTTTGATTGCTGGCACTGAGAAGTTTAAGCCTCATTAGTGTTTCTGCTGCACAAAGTTTTGTGCCTGTCTTCCACCCTTCCCTTCCGTCACAAATCTCTTCTCCAGACTGAAGAGCATGACAACGTCTCCAGATGCCTTACCATCTGAGGTGTGCCCCCTCATGATTACTCCAGATTATCTAGGCCTCTCCTTTAAATTTACAGTTGAGGAAACTGAGGCTCAGAAAAGGGAGGAGACTTGTCCAAGGTCACAAAATGCTGACTTGCTCAAGGTCAGATCTGAGGACCAGAGATGTTGCTGCCCAGTATTCATGAGGTGGTAAGAGTCAGGATATATTGGTAACAGCAATGCCAGGGAATTCCATGGAGCTACTCTGACCTGGAGTTAAACTGTGCCTTTGCTCTATTCCCCTGACACCTTTCTCAAGCTGGAGAGAGAGAGAGAGAAAACGCTATGCTGTTTATTCCTCCCCCTTTTCTATTTACATCCAGTTTCGAAGTTCTCAAAGTGAATATCATCTCATTTGAAACCTGAAGAAACCGAGGTCCAGAGAAGTTGTGACCTGCCTGTGATTACACAGCATCAGAGGGACTTTTGAATCCAGGTTTTCTTGATTCTCCATTGTCCCATTCCATCTTTGCACTAAAATCCTTTCCAAACAGGGCCCTGGGGCCTAAGAGGGGTTGGGGTCATCTGTGAAGGGATGGAGTTACCTGATGGATTTAGACAGCTGAGAATAGTGCCTGCCAGCCTCGGGCCCCCCAGGGAAGGCCCTCCCATAAAGATGGTCCTGTGCCCTTCCTGCCAGAGCTTCCTTGGGGCGAAGCCACCATCAGGGCCCTGAGAAGGCCTTTCTTTTGGGATTTCCCCAGCTGGCAGCTGCCCAACAAGGCTCAAACTGGATTTTTCCTGTTGCCTTTTCCTCTGGCCCCTTAACTAACTGACAGGTGCCCCAAGGTCCCTTTGTGGCGCCCAGGGCCTGGGCTCTAATTAGAGACTGGTGCCAACTCCTGGGGCCATCTCTGCCCCTGGGAGAGGGTGGCTCAGGGCCAGGCCAGGCAGGGGAGCTGGAGGCTGAGAGCAGGGAGTCAGGGGGACCCAGAAATTAAATTACCCACAGAAGCCTGCTTCTTGGATGCGTGCTTAAGACCTGAACATGAGTATCTCTGAGGCTCCTGGCCCCTGTGTCCATATCCATAGACTGACAGATACACAGGGCCTGGCTCTGAGGGCCCTGCACACCCCCTCCCACCCTGCACCAATCAGCAGCTGAGCTGCTTGCCTCTTTGAAGAACAAGGCCTTGACACCAAGCAGGCTGGAAGTGACATTCCCCCCTCCTGTAGCCTTCTGCCAGTTTCCTGCTATGCCTGGCTTTGTCCTCCATCCTCGGAGTGGGTGTCAGCCCAGGGATCACAGAGCAATCTCACTTAACCTCAGTTTTCACCGACTTTTATTGTTCTTAAGAAGGTCTGTGGTGTGTCAGTGGGGGCTGGATTTCAGTGTTTCCAAGTTTGGAGCTCACTTGGATAGAGGGTTGGAAATGCAACCTGTGAGAGAGGGCACTGGTCCCTCTCATGGCCCGCTCAGCAGGGAGCCAAACTTGCTGAGTCTCAGGATTTCCTGGGGGAGCTCCCTCCCACTCCCCCCCATTCCCCACCTCCCTGACGGGGAGGCTTCTCCATGGCCTGAGTTTCTCAGAAGCCAGAGCTTGGCTCACAAGGCTAGCCCTGAACTCCAGGGAAATGCACCTCACGTCTCCTCAGCCCACTCCTCACTCCCCTCCCTCAGCCACTGGGGAGGTGGGAGGGCAGGGGGCTTCCGGCTGAAGGCTGCCAGCTCCCACCCTGAAGGCTATTCCTCTCTCCATGCTGCTTCCGATGCCTTTGGAAGAGGTTGGCACCGAACACTCTCTCATCTTCCCACCTCCTGGCTTAAGACTAAGCAGGGTATTCTCATTCCCGAGATGGAATAGACCCAGAATGGGAGGTGTGTGTGTCAGGGGGATGGCTTTGAGAATTCAAAACTCTCCCTGTTTCCCCCTGCTGGGGCCTCCTGCACCTGGGCACGAGGACCCTCTCAATACTGACAGCTGTTTGTTCTCTCTGCTCATCCCGGGGCTGTGTGGCCCAACCTGGACAAACCACTAAGTAATACAGTCAGGCACGTATATTACTTGGATACCAGGCAGCCCAGACACATCCCAGAATATAGACCGAAGGATGTCCTTGGATGGCATTTCTCAAAAAGGCTTTGTCTCACATGTTACCCCCAGGTACCTGAGCTAACCCCTCCTCCATGATTGACCACAGCCAATCTAGTTACAGACCCTCAGCTCAGTATTTCGACTTTCCGCCTACCCCCAATCATAAGGTGCCAACCAGTCAAAACTGGGATATTGGCAAGACAAACAGCAGAGTGACTGGCATAGGGGTGTCTGCCAGGGGCCTGTTCTATTCCAATCACGCAGACCCAGAAGAGCCAAATGAGGATGGGAGTTTGAGCCTCTGGAGCCAGCCATGGTCATAGTTTACCTAGCCTGGGTTGAGGTATAGCAGAGACCACAACTTTCCTACCGTGGGGGAGATTCCTGCCACACAGACCTCCTGCTACCAGCGGAGATCAGCATTGACCGGGGAGGGAGAAATAGTATACATGAAAGTGGGGAAGGGGGAGCCAGAGGAAGGTCTTGCTGGGGTCTCCAGACCCCACCCCCTTCAAGGCTAAGGGGATAGCTGTGGTGGGTGAAGCCCTCTGCCCCCAGGAAGACCACAGAGGAGCCTTCTTGGGGGAGGGGAAGGTCAGGGTCAGTGTAAGGGGTAGCCCCTAGAGGCAGGGCCTGCCCTTGCCTGTATAAAGGGAGCCTCCCATTCCTTGATTCTCCCTTTCCTGTCTGGGCGCAGTAAATCTTCCCCATCCCATAGAACTCCCTTACCAATGGTGACATTGGGGGACACTAGGACAGCTCAAGTGATCTCTGAGTCAGCCTCTTTCCAGAGGTGATGGGAATACATTTTTCTCCCAATTGTCTGCATGAGATGTTGGCTGGAGGTAACTAACCTTTTCCTAGCTCTGTCTACCAAGGGCTGAACCTTAGGATCTTACAAATAAGATTCTCTTCAGCCCCAGTGATGAGAAGCAAATAGGGCCAGGAAAAGTCTCTGGACACTAATCCCCTTCCTCCCATTCCCTGCAAATTGGTTTCTAGACCCTACGTGGAAAGGGGGACGTGGTGACAGAGTGGAAGATGCCTTTATCCAGCAGACAAGAGAGGAGGCCTGGGGACCCAGGGACTCAGGAGCATGAGGAGAATTTGGCCCATTTTTACTGAAGAGTCACTGGATCCTTTCAGAGCACAGGGGTTGTCCCCTGCTGAGCCCCACCTCCCCAGGGGAGCAGTCAGTGGTGGAGACAATCAGGGGAAATCCTAAGAGGCATCAGCCCTCCCTAGACCCCAGGAGGGAAGATGAAGGATGCCCAAGGCCCGGCCTCTGAGGCCTCCATGCCCCTTAGGGAGGGAACCCAATGTACTAGCCTTTCCAGTTCTACCCCCTGCAAGGCCTGGTCCCCCCCCCCCCCCTTTTTTTTTAAAAAAAAAAAGATCCTCAACAGGGATAATAATAATTAAAGACAAAAACACACATTGAGTGAAAAAACGTCCTCCCTTCCTCCCCCTCACCAGCCGAGGGCCCAGGCAGCTTAGCAGTCCTGGCAGGCAATGGCACAGGTGGGTGAGTGACGGGTGACCCCAGGCCAGGCTGGGTTCTAGTGGTTGCCACCACTCTTGTTGTTCCCAGAGATCCAGTCAATGATGATAAAGCTCAGGCTCATGACCATCAAGAGAACACCTAACCCTGCAAAGCATATGGCCTGTAGGTAGAAAAAGGAAGGGGTCACTGGGGGAGAAAACCTAGAGGAGGCCCTGTCCCCTCTGAGCTTAGAACCCCAGGCATGGCTGCACAGGCTGGGCTCTCTGCCTGAGGGCCCAGGCCCAAGGTACTTCCATAGGTGCAATCCCTTTCCTCCCTTGCTTGATTCAGGACCACACTATCCCTGGAGGCTCCTGCCAGGGGAGCTGGGCGTGACTGTTATGTACCAATATTTTGGGAGTGGACTTCAGTGGCTCTTTGTCCTTGGGCACAATTCGGATGTAGAAGATTGCTGGAAAGATGAAGATCAGGCAGGGTGCAGAGGTGGCGCCTAGGAGAAGAGATAAGGGAGGGATTAGAATCTCAGCGGGCCAGTAAAGGGAGCAGGCGCTGTCTTCTGGCTGATGTTCCCAGGGCTGGAGACAATCATTTAGTAGAAACTCCTCATTTTTAAAGATGGGGAAACCTAGCTACCAAGAGAGGGAGTGACTTGCAGGGACTGTTTTCTAACCCAAGTTCTCTGACTCTAAAATTTAATCCTTTTACCAACACACCCCTTTAATTTTGATTGTGCTGATGCTTTGGTTATCAGCTGAGTGTTTTAACTTTTTTTAAAAAATTAATCTGCCCTATTTGGGTCTAAGAACCTCAAAGAGGATTTAAAAAAGGCCAACAGTTAGTCTTAGGATGAAAAAGAGTCAACACGAAAATAATGAGTTGCTTATCAAATGAGACAATGTGCTATGTGCTAATGGGCCCTAACATGGCGGTCCATTAAGTAAGCGGCCCCTCGGACTGAGAAGAAATGTGTTCATAGGGGTAGGTCCCAAGAGCGCACCAAAGGTTGGTGGGGCCCTGCTTCCTCTGCTCAGCTGGCTGGCCCTGGCTAGGATTCTCACCAATGATCCCGAAGATGCCCAGGATGTTGGGGGCAAAAATGACTAATAGGTTGATGCAGGTCAGCAGGCTGACAGCAATGAGCGTGTGCCGAAGCCAGCTGAACTCTTTGTCCTGGAACAGCATCTGCTGGATGGCCCTCCGCACCTGGGGGTGGGAGATGGGAGAGAGCAAGCAACCGTAATCCCTAGGTGCACAGGCTGTCCCTCCCGAGGGCGGGGTAGGGTGGGGGGAGGGGCCCGGAACTCCACTCCCCTGCAGTTCCCAATTCTGGAGTGAAGCAAGGTTGACAAAGTGCTTCCCTTCAGAGATGTCACAATCCCCCAAGAAAGGTCAGGCAAGCATTGTTCCTTCCCATTTTACTTATTAGCAGGGCTCAGTGGGATGAAGTGAAAAGGGAAACACACCTTTTCTCTGACTTTTACATGTTTACAAAGCAATCCTGTGAAACTAGGTGGTTTGAGTGTTTTTATTTCCATTTTATAGAAGGGGAAACTGAGGCTCAGACACTTGTTTGAAGTTGCATGGTAGGAGACCAGGATTTGAACCCAGGTTTTTTGACTCCAAGTTTTGTGTTCTTTTTACTCTATTACATTGGCTCTGGGGAAGAACCCATAGAGTGAGCTCAGTTTCCCAGGGCTGGTTTTTGTAGCCTTCATACCGGATTCCTCACCTGAGAACCTTGGGTGTTTTTTCACCATCCCTGTCTCTTCCCTCAACTCCATTAAAGGGATGAAATCAAAGGGAACTTGATTTGGAGTCAGAGGACCTGAGCCCAAATCCTGGCTCTGCCACTTTGTATCTTTGAGCAAATTACAACCTTTCTGAGCCTCAGTCTCCTCAGCTGTAAAATGAACTGGTTAGACCAGGTGACCTCTAAAGTCCTTTCCAGCTCTGAATCTATGATTCTATGAGTTATGACCTTATGATCTACGAACCCTGAGCTCTCCCTGAGGGACTGGGTCCAACTCACCGGAAAAAGGACAATGGGGACAGTGAGGGTGACAGCTGTGAGCACGGCCACTCGAACACACAGGATCAGCACATCAAAAGGGTCCACATTGTTGTAAGTGTGCAAGAGCTCTGACTCCACCCGATCTGTGGGACATAGCTCCTGACACAACCCAGTCTGGGACTGGGACACAGCCCCTGATTCACAGCTCCCCACCTCCCGCTTCCACCTGAGTCTGGAGGACATAGCATCAATGCAAAGGCCTCCCAGACCCACCCAGGTCTAGGGGATGCAGCCTCTGACCCCTGTCCTCCCAGACCCACCCAGGTCTAGGGGATGCAGCCTCTGACCCCTGC